GGCAACATATACGTGCATGTATATATATATATACAGATACAGATACATATACATATACATATACATATACATGTACATATACATATACATATACATCTACATCTACATCTACATCTACATCTACATCTACATCTACATCTACATCTACATCTACATCTACACACACATATATACATCTACATGTACATACACATATACATATACATATACATATATATATATATATATACATATATATATATATATATATACAGATAAATACAGATAAATACATAATATATATATATATATACATTTCTTTTTACATATATATATATATATACATATATATGCATATTTGTGTATATATATATATATGTAATTAGCTACCAACCTGTCGCAACTGTGCGAGTCAGCTTCTCGAAGCACCCCCGAAGAGAAAAAATACAAAAACACTGAGACAGTACCGGCCGTGTGCGGGAACGGCACCATTTCTTGGAGACCGAGGTACACAGCCAACATCCTCCTGGGCCGGAACCAGGCCCACAAGCCCTTCGGCTCCCAATTGAGCAGAACTACATGCCTTGAAGTCTTGTGCGATGGGGAAAAGTCTGAATTCCAGCTGACGAACAAGCCTCTGAACCCAACTCCTACACCTCGCCAGGCGTCTCCGAGTGTGAGCAACAGAGAGGGTTTTGAGCTGAGGAACCGAGAGATGGCCGAACGTCTTCGGGCCCTGCTCTGCACGGTGCGGGCCCAGCGCCCACTGCAGCTTCGCTACGTGAAGGGCCACTCAGGCAGCCGAGGCAACGAGCGCGCAGACCTCCTGGCGGCCAAAGGCCGGGAGGAGGGGGGCTTCAGGTCTGGTTGGTGCATTTGTGTCCTTTGGTGGGTGGGCATGTGGAGCAGTATCCCTCTATACACCTCCGACCTCAACCTCTGGACCCTTGAAGCTCCTGTCTTCTCTCCTGTGGTTCGTCGAGACTTCTCCTGCATCAGCAAGTATGACAAAATGTTGTTGCATGTTGTTGCTGAATGGCTTCCACGTCTGGTTAAATGCCGAATTCGAGGCAACTGCTCGATGCGTTGTTGCAGGATGCTTCTTCTTAATTGGAGTCTGAATCCACTGCTTTCTTGCCTGTGATCCTTTCTCAGAGTCGAACTAGCATGACTTTGTGAAGTGTACGTGCGAGCTGCGAAGTTTCGTGATGGTTTGAGAACGCAGTGTCTTGTGCGATCGAAGGCAGGGCCGTCTTCTGGGACCAGTATGGCATGGGTTCTCTACTGTTAGCTGCTGTTACTGAGTGCGAGTGTGAGTGTCCATACCTTCGCAGATGGCTAGTGACGTGACCGAGTCTGTAGGATATCGCCTCAAGACCCATAGTATTGTGGTCCTGAATTGTCCACAGGTCTGCTGTGTTGATCTCAGCTAGAGGGTCCGTGTGTGCCAGAAACCCCTAAACCCCCAAACCCGAACTAGCTCTACAACGGGTAGATTTTTGTTTTGCGTCTTAGTGCAGACAACCGATCAATGAGGTCATCTGTAGCTGCAATGTGGCGTTGGACCGGGCCCGACCCGAAAATGTAGCCTTGTTGTGAGCCCGCTGGCAGTGTCCGAGTTGCGAGAGTGTGCACTTTACAGCGGAAAGTGATGGCGTTGATGAACCCCCAAACCCTAAACCCTAAACCGACTAGAAGTTCTGTGACAGATGCTTCTGGGTAATTGGCACACCTTAAACTGAGGCCTGCCCTCGCATATCTAAAGTTGAAGACATTACCCTGCAATGCGGGCTCGTCCTTGCTAAGTAGGAGGCAAGAAACCGTAAACCCTAAACCTTTGCAAGTTTGAGCCCTTGAGGTGCCCGGGGGGCCTACTCTGCCCAGGGCCGGTGGGGTCGAGCTGAGCGGGCAGCGGCTGCTGCCGCCGAAGCAGCAAAGGCTATACCTGGGAGTTGGGGTTGTTGATTTTTGATTTGGCCTGGGGTTCAGAGTGAATGTGTCAACGCAGTGGGCTTTCGTTGCGAGAAATCTGTCGAACGTCCAGCTCAAGCCTGTCCCAAACATATCGTGGTCCTTGCTTGCGCGCAGGCCTGTGTGGCTCCGCTGCAACGCGAAGGCCCGGCATACCCTTGTGGATGGGCGTGCGGGTCTGCGGTCGTTGTGCGTGTCTGTGAGTGTTTGAGCATTTCCGGATGTATTTTGACACGTGTGAAATGAGAGGCGAGGTAAATGGCAGTTTGAAAAATAGTAGTCTACCGTTTCCCTTAGATCTGACAGCATGGCCGCGGCTGATACTGCCACGACCGAGTTGGTGGAGAAGTTACTGCTGAACGCACATGACTGTACTACGCCCTTGAGTGCAAATTTATCAGCATGTACAGTTGTTTTTGGTCAGTTTGGGCAGACATTGAACACCTATCCTGGGCCGGTGAACATTTGTTCGGTCAAAAACTTCTTTTGGTCACGAAGTGAGCAAGTATTCTGAGCTGAAGAGTGAGTGTCGAAGGCCATGCCTGGCATCTTACTGAAGTTTCAACTGCACCTGTGTGGGTATGGTCCGGTATGGTTGTTCTTTTGCGTGTGTTTCTTTGTTGCGGGTATTGCCCGATACGGTGCTATCTTCCCGTTTCAAAATTATTGTGATTGCTTGTTGCTTCCATAGTCATCATGGTGATTTGCATTCCGTTGGCAACAAGAAGCAGCAACTGAGCGAGCACATCACCCGTTGCCTCCACCCTGACTACACCACTCCACTCCACTCCACTCCA